CTGAAGTTTCATTGCCACATGTCAAGTAATTCATCCTTTTTCTGTTAATATCAGTCGACAAATCTTGTCATGCCACTTTTTAAATACAACAGATGTAGCTACATGTGACTGAATAATGATTCTCTTTATCTGTCTTTCATCTCACTCATGTGACTTGGACTCTTTACACATCCTCACACATAGCTGGAATCTTCTCAGATTCAATGCCTTGTTTTAAAATTTTTTCATGAAACTTGCACTGACTGTGGCAAATGCCTTTCCAGTCTGTTAGTACCTAATGCCAGGTGCTTTTATTTCTCTTTGACTATATTTCTCATTTGACCATAAAGTCCAAAGAAATAGTACTAGAATCAACCTATGTAAGATGTTTAAAACCTTGTTTCCCAAGTATTGCCAGGGGAGGACACTTACATCACCCAGTTTTCAGACAAGACCAAAAGGGACAGAGAGAGGTGGGTATGAAAGGCAAGATGTTTCTGTCTGTGACAAGATAGATGTAAGAGCAAGGTGAAGGAAAATGAGTTACTATCTTATGAAACCTCAGGAAAAATGTGACACAATCAACGGGTTGTGTCAGATGCAGCACCAGGCAGTAGAGCTGAGATGTCCAAGGAGTAATTAGTCACTAAGCAGCCTTGGGAGTTTAGACATTTATGTTGTTCAAGGGCTGCATCTGATTGAAATGGACTGATATTTCAAGAACAGGGTAGAAACAGATTGTAACAGCAGTAAGTCAGCATAAATGCACAGACCTTGGTTTGTTTTCTTGCAACAATTCTGATAACCAGAGTTTGAAAAAAATGCAAAATAACCCTGGTTAGATCTTACCGTTTTGGTAGTGTGTATATGATTGGATACAGATATATGATTGTAATAGGATCAGATCAGCAGTAGTTACTCACCATATATACAAGAAATATTGACAGACTTTAGTTAAAATTAACTGAACTTAAAAAAAATAAAAGGAAACAAATATTTGATTTTTTTTTTTTAATTATAAGATTTACAGCAGTGCTTGCTTAAATAGTGGTACTTGGTTAATTGTATTAGGCTCTACCCTTGAAAGACGCATGAAGAGGGATGCATATATGGCTTAGCATTCAGAAAGAATTAAAGATATAGAGTGCACTTCACAGAGGTGCAAATCAAAGCAGCAAAAGCGTAAATCTTAAGACATCACATCCCTAAGGAAAATGCTTCTGTTACATAAAACTCAGTTTTTTGAATACTGTTATGAAAGCATACAGTTTAGGTCCTAAACTTTTTCTGAATTTAAGAAATGCTTTTCTAAGTGGAGGAAGTGTAGGTGTCTTTCTGTTCCACGGGTTTTGTTGTCTTATTCTAAAACCCAGTGGAATAAGGGGTGAACATCCCTGCTTGCAGTGGTATTTGGGTTATGCCCTGTATTTGGCTTTGGAAGCTTAGTCATCTGTTTTGTAGCATCTCAGAAGAGAACCATTGCTTCCCAGTCATGTTACATGGCAAAAGTCAGGTTGGATGAGAGCATTATAGAATAAGGTGTCCTGTGAGTAGAGCTACAATACTTTATTATTCACATTGTTACTCTCAAGATGGTGGGTTTAGCCTTCCTTTCTGGAGGAAATACTCATTTTCATAGTTGTCAGGAAACTGCCTTTCCTTCTTTTTGTCCAAATCCAGTGAACTCTATAAAAGTAAGTTGTATTTTGAGGTCTGATACGAAATATTTATTATAGATGTGGAAATCATTCAGCATTTGTTTGAGGATTGCTCATTGTGCATGCTCAGGACTCAGCTGTTGGAGGAGAGTGCCTGAAGTTGCAATGTGTTTGAGTGACTGTCTGACTACAGAGGTAAATCTCCATCTTCAGGCCCTGTAGTTCACTCAACCAGGTGGATATGATTTATGTTTGTCTAGGTACTCGTGGCATCTGACACTACAATTTTTGCACACCTCATCTAATTCAGTGAATGCATTTTTCAAGCACTCTGAAGTGGTGAAGGTAAAGTCATCCATCCTATAGAGAGCTATCCTAAAAGTTTGTCCATTACTGCTCTGATGTATTTGTTATGTGGACTTTCAGTGCAATGATCACTGAATTGTTTACCCCTTTGATTTTCCTTCTGTGGAATTCCCCTCACAGAAGGTGACTGAACATGCAGTAGAAAAAGTCTTGCCTATCTTCTTTTCCTTTTTCATGCTTGGCAATCTACATACCTGTCATGCAAAAGTAAGCATAGGATGGTATCTTTTCGATACTTAGTCTGTAAGTCATTTTGAACAACTCATCTATTTGGGCTACTTGTATCTAGGCATTACACGGTGAGTTTGTTTTCATTTTCTCCCCTACACGGCATCTGAGCAAAGATGTTAGACATCCCTCTCCCTCCACCCCAGTTAATTACAGCCTATAAATAAAATTAACATTTTGGTTTAAATGAAGTAATACAAAATCCTTGTATTTGTTTTCTCAGCATTAGCAAGCTGAGAGTTCTGGGAGGGCAACTGTTGATTTCTTGTGGGTCCAAGGGATACCAATACTATTACTTCAATACACAATTTTATCATGTGATTGTAATGTATGTGTAGTCACACATAGAAGGCTGATAAAAGAAATTAAATAATCCCATTAACTGACAATATTCATCAAAATAAGTGTTGTTTCAGTGAAGAAATGAGAACTTATATTAATGTAAGCTCTCATTGCATCTTGTATGCTTAAAACATGAGATTGTTTTGTAACGATTTTCCAACATTGTTCACTTCTGATAGCAAGTTTTACATCATTTTACATTTTGAAATAGCTGCCGCTTTATTCACGAAGGAGGGCTGACTCCTCGGCAATCAAAATTTTTGTAATCAAAAAAATCAGTAATGCTGTCTCCTGCAATTGCTCACATTGATGCACTAATATATAGTAGTTAGTTTCTTGTCTGAAAAGAAAATTGGAGCAGTCTCCAAGAAAAAACATAAAGCCCAGGGAATTTTCTTGGGCTCATGGTTAAAGACTTTGGTACATAGGACAGAAACCTTAGACAGGCAATGAGTTAAAAACCAACAACTTCATTAAGGTTTGTGGGGAGGATTTTGGTGCTTGGTTTTCAGTGGGTGGGTTGGGTGTTTGGGTTTGTGGGGTTTTGGGGGGGTTGGGGGCATTTTGGGGTTTTTTGGTGTTTGGGCTTTGGGGTGATTCGGGGTTTGGTGATTTTGGTGTTTGGAGTATTTTGGTGTGGTGGTTTTGGGGGGCTTTTTTGGTGATTTGGTTTGGTTTTGGGAGGGGGTGTTGGGATGGTTTTTTTCCCCTGTGGATGAGAGCTTATATGGTCTTTAAACTTATGTCCATATCTGCAGGAAGGGAAACTTGCATATTTAGTTGGTGTCATATTTAGTTTGATGTCATAGAAGCTACCAGCAAGTCTAACTCTGTGGGTTTTTTTTCTGTTAGAAAGTATAAGTTAGGAGAGCTGAATACTGAATGATAAGGAGTTTCATTGTAACCTAGAGATGAGTTTGGTGTTCATCTGTAACATTTTTATGTAAGCCTGCATCAGTAAGACTTTTAAAGCTTTGGAGTTTCAACAGGAGGGTACCAAACTACATTAAAATAGTGTGTGGGCTCATCTGCTGTTTTCAGTCATACAAAACTATAAAATCTTCCACATAGTAAATTTAGCATGAAAAGTGCTTCTTTTGATACTGTTGTTGCTTATGACTAATGTACATTGGTACTGCCTGTTTATAGTGACGTGCTGTAAATCTAACCTGTTATCTAGAAGATATTACTTGGGGTAGTTACTTTGATATAAAGAATTGGGCTGGATAAATGGATGTGCCTAATTCTCAGTTGTCATAGAAATGCAAAAGAGGCATATGCTTTGTAGAGCGCATTC